TAGCGCAGATAACCCTCGTGTAGCTTTGTCGCGAAATTCCAAAAACAAACAAAGCGTTACAGTTGTTGTCTTTTTCTTTTCCAACTGACCTTTAAGCCACTGTAAATAACAGTACCATACGTATATTTTTTCCTCAGACGAACTTTATGGTTCATCAAAATATATTTGACATATATCATAATACAATCATGTGAAGATGTTATTTCGTAACGAGGCCTGGCGTTAATGGTTAACGTGCCTAATAACGAATTTGAGGATCTATAGTTTACATCCCGTTGCCTCAAAACAATTTAAACAAACGAACATTTCTTGGTCATTTTGAATACAGTAATCTGTGGTTACAGAAAAAAGGAGTTGCCAATTAACAAAAACACCGATGAAGATTCTCACTGAGAGCTGATTAGCAGTTTAATGCAAGCACCGACAGGCTGTATAGAGAAAGTTGCCCCAGAATTAGTTGTTTTATGAACCACTATGTTTCACATTTAGTTTTACAACAATTTCAGAAATTCTGGGACAACTTCCAAATCTGTTCTGATTTTATACAACATGTAATTAGGAAGACGAAACGTCCAGTTTACATCTCGTGAGTAATAAAGTACTACTTCCTGCATGAATGCGAAACTTGAAAATTATGAAAAATCAATAAAGTCATGAACACATCTATCTTTTATATTTTCTAAATATATATTTTCCAAAAATATTTCAACCTTTTTTTCTTTTTGAAAATATGCTTTACACATATATATCTAGAGTAAAGAAGATCAACTTACTCTAACATTGTGGACCTTGAGAGAGAAAAAAAGTAATTAAACTGGATCAGACTGCATCATTTTTTCTCTAAAATTTAAATTATTTAGGGTGGGCTCAACCCTAGAACACCTATAGAATCAGCGCGAATGCCAAAGGAACTCACTATCCATGTGTACGTGACTGAGATACGAGCTTTTCTACTTTCTTTATCATATTATATGGCTGTACCTATCTCTGCATTGATGTTCCTTATTTCAAAACTCTGAAGGTGGTAACCCTGTCATTAGGGAACCTGTAGTAAAAAAAAAATATATACCAAGCTGGGTACAATTTAAATCGTTTACAAACAACGGGTCCTAAGTAAAGTTTAGTCGCCCAGTTGTGAATAGCCACATGGAACAAAAGGATAAGGTTCTCTGTCGGTCGATAGAGCAAGTTAAGAATGTAATTTGTACATCTGTAAACTTCTACAAAAGGTTCAAACTTTCTTCTTAAATCAGTAAGTATGTTAGATATATTATTCTGTATTTAATAACTCACAATAAATATGTAAATATACATTGTTAATAGACCGTTTCTAAAGCACAAACCACCACATAATAAACTCATTTTCTTAACATTCCCAAAATACGTGAAGTTTCAAGTTGTCAATATTTGGATATTCACCATCTGTTCAGGTACATTACGTAGTTTTTTTTTGTGCACTAAATATTGTATCATAAATATTCTAACTAGTGTTTACTTAACTATACATTGTGCTGTTTTTGAGTATATCATATGTCGAAATATATTCTATAACTGTCCATAAGGATCACGTAGTTTATAAAAATTATGAAATTTTTGAAAATGTACTGAAATGCATATCGCAATCAGATAATTGTATCGTTTTGTTTATGGTTTCCAAAAAATAAGTTTGATTTATCTAATTACAAACCAAGATATTTTATTTTAATATCACTTTGTGAACTATCGACTCGTAAGTTTTTCATAGTTAAATCTGTATCAAAATATGATTTTTTGTTTACTGTGTATTTTCATATATTTTCTAACAATAAATATTTAAGTATAAACTACAGCATAACAAACGAAGCCCAACAATGCTAGTAAAACGTGTACGCTTAACAACATAGATCTTTGTTCAGCAACTCGATTAACTTTCTATTGAAGTTTATAATACGACTTCATAACAGTGTTTACATTTCACCACTTTACAAGAAATGCTTTATGAAGCTTATATTTTAATTGAATAAGATGTCCTACTACGTTCCTCTATGGTTTGAGAGGCGTCACTCAAACATTTCATAACATACATTTTACAACGTAATGCGATCACTTGATGAGGTTTTTTGAAACACTTCTATGACTGAGATCTTGGTTTGATAATGTTATGAAAGTCTGTGCCTCTTTTATTGGTCCTTTCATTCTATACACTGTAAGTAACTTAGTTGTCTAGAGAAAGAAAAAGATGATATTAATCAACTGAATATGACGGATTATAACTTTTGTCTAACGTCATGACCTTCCCTTGCAATAACTACCAAGTTTGATGATTTTATGTGGCTAACAAATTTATGGGCGTTTCGTTTGTTTTGTGTGAAAAGCAGAAGCTGATCAATCAGTAATTAGTAGGTAGTTTGTTTCATTGCTGTTTAAATTAATTTTTTTCCACTTCTGATTAATGGGAAGCCGAAGAAATGATGCAAAAGACACATCCCATAATTATAACACACAATCATCTGTTTGTAAGAAAAGAAAATATAAAAAGCGCATCAATAATTTGAGGAGTATTTCATTCAGTGAACATTATTTACCTATTCATATAACAGTAATTCTGAAACAACACAAACATTTTTAACCACTAGTTGATTCGTTTCTTATAGTTTTAATTAATTACCAAATCCTGGTTGCACCTGTTACTCGTACTTTCAAAGAGGATTATATTATAATAAGAGCTTGGTAAAACCAATTATGTCTTTTAATAAATTTTCAGTGCCGCTAACCTTGGAATTAAAAGAATATCTAAATACCGTCAGTCGTACTTTTGTTACGCCCCCTCCCCGGTTCGAGGGCTTATAACGCTAAAAATAGCTCATTACGCAGCTTTGTGCAAATAAACAAGTTTTCTTTGTAAGCTAACAGTGATGTTATTTTTATTGGTTACAAGGGATAAAAACAACGAGGGTACCCAGGGCAGAGCGGGTCATAAAAGCATTTTGTAGTTTGCTTGTTACTCACAATGAAGAATATTTATAAAAAATTGTGATTATTATTGTAGAATTTTAACAGATCTTCTGTTAGAAAATGTTACATTATTATAGTGAAGAGAGAATATTTTCCTAAGTTCTGCACTTGTTGGGATAATTCCATTTCACGGTTCACTATCCAGAGATGTCCTTGTGAATCTTTTCATAAGGTGTGTTGGAGAGCAGTTACTCAAAGTAATAAATAAGACGTTACGTAAGCAGAAGAAAATCACAGAAACTATGCCAATCAAACAATTAAAACATTCTTTAAACAAATATTCCAGAGATTTTCTCTGTCTCTACTTATTAGAGTCTATGTACTTATACACATTTTTTTATTGCTGTGTCTTGTATGTTTATATTTTTCGTAAATAATTATTGCTACATATATTAAAAATATTTATAATCTAACACGTGCACTGCCGAGAATAATAGTTACGTTTTGAATTTGTAATTGTTATTACTTGGGCCATTATATCAAATTTAATCATCCAAAGCTATCTTCATCTCATAATATAGTTAATGATAGTATTTGTTTTACAGAATTTTAGAGGATGATTTATCATTCATACAGAAACGTAAGCCCTACATAAAGCAGCATATCGTGGAGAATTGTTTAGTTAAGGATAATATTCGTAAGAACGCCGATTGGGGTGGAAATCTAGGACTAATAACGAAACTTTGTTCAAATAGAAGCCCCAGATGGCTCAGCAGTAAGTCTGTGGACTTATAACGCTAAAAATAGGGATTCGATATCCCCAGTGGGCAGAGTACAGGTAGCTCGCTGTGTAGCTTTGTGCTAAACAACAAATAAACTACATCAAAGAGGAGTAGCATCGAAAGGAAAAAAAACAACAACCAAAGAATATGTCTCATGCACATCTGGATGGTACATTTCCTTTGGTGTTATTCTTTGTTTTGTATATTTATGTCCACACGTATTCCTCTTCATCCATTCGACTTTACTACATACCGTCTTAACCTACAAAGCACGATAAGTAAAGTTTCGTTGAAGTCAAAATTTAAACTTTAACAATCTGATAATTAACATGACAGTACAATCGAATGGAACGTGCTTATATTTATTTCGTATTTAAAACGATGTTAAGTAGCTAAAAATCATGATTAATGAACGTTATATCTTATATATTGTTGGTAAAGGTGGCTCGTCACATGAATTTGGGTATGACAGGTAATTTTTGCAATCTTTAATTAAAAGCTTAACAAACTAAATACTTACAATGAGGGACGGGCGAATGACAACGGGCTAAAGTCGGTGACGTGCTAGCAGTCATGGGTTTTCTTGAAGTACAATGGCCGAGAAAAAAAGGAAAACAAATCTCTGTTACTCAAGACATGATTTATATGAAACGTGAGAGGATCATTTAGACTGAGTTACGAAACTTTCTAATTAGACAATAACTCAAAGTATAAATCGTTCAAATAATTAGTAATCAGTTGATTCTATATACCATGACATAACAATCTTGTTTTAATATACAACATAAAATTTTTATATATTAAAAGTAGTTTATTTTGATAACTTAGTTTATTCTGTAGTTAAAATTGATAATTATTTCTTGATCTTTCGTTGATGTCAAAGAGTATTTTATTAAAATAGAATTAATTTCACCTTAATTATACCTTATCGTTCTCTGTTCCTTTTTAATATTGTAGAAATTGAATTTGAAATGTAATATCTCATGGACAAACTTAATGAGTAACAAGAAATATGAAACTTCTAAATTTATTTAAACAGAATATGAAAGTGTTCGTTGACTCACCTTTCTCGTTTAGACATATTTAACTCTTTCTGTAAAAAAGAAGGTCTTTTTAGATTGGAATAATAAAGAAAACTTCTGTTTAAACAATACAATAGTTTGTTCATTACAATAATTAATTATCTACATGAAAACTACTGGCAGACTATCAGCGAATATATAAGTTTACATTTCTTTTTTCTTGTTGCAAACGTTTCTGTACTATTCCAGACTGTTATCCCATCTTGTCTTGTGAAAACGTAATTTTTCTCTGTATCCTTACAACGAATATTGTGCTGTAGTGAGTTGGATTTTCACTAAAAATACGCATTGTACAATATTACACTTTGAGCCTTTTTATAGTTTACTAAACGTCACAGTCCTTTCATTTGACAAGATAATAATGTTGTTATCAACAAAAACCTCTACCTAGCCGCCTTTGTCTGCACAGATAAACAGGTACTAATATTGCTATTGTTCTTTAAATAATACACATAACGCGAAACTTAATATTACAGAGCTAATATGAGTCGAACAGTTACATCCTGTTCTTGGTGACGTTTTAAATATCTTCTATAATCGTTTTTTTATATAACTTGTGCAGCCATGCAAAGCGTTTTTATCACTCTAAAAGCTCGGAAATAACTATCTTATATAAAAATCTGCTAGTTGGATGACATTTTAAGTTTTAAGTATTTTATAAACCATATTGCATTATTTTGCATTGTTTTGGTTATCTAACACGGTTTTTATTGTGCCTACTTTTTTTTTTTGCCTGCAATAAAGCAATGCCATTCAACGATGTAACATCTAACTGACAATCACAATAACTATTTTGCCTTTACGTTGTATGCATTGAATAATATAAGCTTGCAACGTCTGTAGTATCTCGTGAAGCTTATTTTATCTGCTATTGATACAAACGATATTCAAAACTAAGGTGTGATAAATCGGCAATTAGGTGGCCATTAACTATGTATAATTTTTTTGTCTGTTTGTTATTAAGCAAAAATCTACACAATGGACTACCTACTCTGCCCATCTCGCGTACCAAATCCAATTTTTAACCTTATAAGCCCTCAGACTTACCGCCGATCAACTAGGGGCTCTGTGTAGATACAATAATGCTAAAGTGCTCTATGAATATTAGCCTAATTAGTCCATCCATAACAGATCCATCGCTCTGGCCTTATCAAGTACGAGGCGTCAATCATGCACGAAGATAAGCCGAGTTACACCGTTAATTAACAGACTGCAAACTACTGAGTTTAGAGGACTTCCCCATCAAATAAAGTTTTAAAACTAAGGCTCAACGTAGCTACCTTTTATTTTAAGGAACAACACAACTATGATAACAAAACAGGTAATTCGGTTCGGTTTCTTTAGGATCACAGTATTGATCCATCCACTGCCAACTATTGGGCTACTCTTTTATCAATGAATAGTAGTATTGACCGTTACATAATAACATCCCTACGGCTGATAGGATAGGCGAAAGGATTCGCACTTGCAAATTGCGAGACAAGCACCTTAACCATCAAGACATGACAGGCCCCAGTATCACAATTAATACATTAAATAAAGAAACTGTCTCAATAGTTATCCTAACCTTATAAAAAAGGAGAAAATTGAACCTTCCAGACATTAGGTACATTGATGGTGTCACTTTCATTGAAGCTTTCAAGACCTTCATATGTTTATTAAAAAACTATTTACTACATATAAATTTAATGTAGTAGGAATTTACTACAAAAATATATTTAATACAATATTTCCCAAACTATTGAAAATTAGTAAGTACCGATAATTTTGTTATACATTAAAGAATTCCTGAGTTGAAGCTTGGATTTGTTCTTATTATGAACTTTCTTAATTTTCATTTCCAAGAAAGATAAAAACATTAACTATACATTATGAATATGGCGTCTCATTTTTATTCCTTTTACTAAATAACGAGTAACTACTAAACGGTAATCTAAGAGGAATAAGTACAATGAGTTTATAACCTCATTTGTTATCCCTCTCACTAAATATTGAGTAACTACTAAACGGTAATCTAAGAGGAATAAGCATAATGAGTTTATAACCTCATTTGTTATCCCTCTCACTAAATATCGAGTAACTACTAAACGGTAATCTAAGAGGAATAAGCACAATGAGTTTATAACCTCATTTGTTATCCCTCTCACTAAATATTGAGTAACTACTAAACGGTAATCTAAGAGGAATAAGCACAATGAGTTTATAACCTCATTTGTTATCCCTCTCACTAAATATTGAGTAACTACTAAACAGTAATCTAAGAGGAACCCAAGGAAACCATCAAATGAACAGTATTCAATTTCAATGAGAAACTGAACCCAAGGAAACCATCAAATGAACAGTATTCAATTTCAATGAGAAACTGAACCCAAGGAAACCATCAAATGAACAGTATTCAATTTCAATGAGAAACTGAACCCAAGGAAACCATCAAATGAACAGTACTCAATTTCAATGAGAAACTGAACCAAAGGAAATCATCAAATGAACAGTGTTTAATGTTAATGAGAAACTGAACCCAACGAAACCGTCAGATGAACAGTATTCAATGTTAATGAGAAACTGAAACCAAGAAAACCATCAGATGAACAGTGTTCAATGTTCATGAGAAACTGGACCGAAGAAAACCATCAGATGAACAGTATTCAATGTTAATGAGAAACTGGACCGAAGAAAACCATCAGATGAACAGTATTCAATGTTAATGAGAAATCGGACCGAAGAAAACCATCAGATGAACAGTGTTCAATGTTAATGAGAAACTGGACCGAAGAAAACCATCAGATGAACAGTATTCAATGTTAATGAGAAACTGGACCGAAGAAAACCATCAGATGAACAGTGTTCAATGTTAATGATAAACCGGACCGAAGAAAACCATCAGATGAACAGTATTCAATGTTAATGAGAAATTGAACCCATGGAAATCATCATATGAAAAAAAATTACGAATTAAGAATTAAAAAAATGAGCTAAGCACAAATTATAAATTTCATTTTACAAATATTATTTGTTTTCGGTAAAACATAAAAATACCTATGCTTAACGTTCAATTTCTAATCAGTGTATTTATTTTTACTATGCTTTTGCGAATAAAGAAAGTAAAATGGCGCTTCAAGTGCACTTAAAGTGTAGTAAAAATCATCCATAAACAAAGTTTAAGTGAAAATCTGTCACTGTCGCAGACCAGAAGTCAGTCTTCTCCCTTCAATTCGATACATTTATGTTGCGAAAAAACAGAAATACAGAATTCTTTTTTGTCTTTGAGTAATTTGTCCACAGTGTATTTTTTAAACGTTCTAAACCCAAGCAGTGTCCTTTAGAACAACAGGTAGTCAACGTACTCACAAAAAACCAGCATAAGCCCAAACGACTATTTTATTGTACCTAGGGACAGACGTGGCATAGAGGTTAGCGTGTCGGATGGTAACTGGCCAACAACAACCATCGCTTGTTCTTAGACTACTCTTGTTTGACCGAATAGTGGGACTTGATTGTTACGCTTATAGCGCATCCATGACTACAAAGTGCAGAACGTGATTTGACGAAACGGGCACGAAACCACGAATCCCCAGATTCATAGTCCGAGCATAGTATGTTATAAGAGTAACAATCAATCCCGCTAATCGGTTCAAAGGGTAGAACAAACGCTAGTGGCGGCGAACGCTACTGACAGGTTGCCCACCTTCTACTCAGTTCTTTAAAATTAGGGAAGGCTATAGTTGAAGTAGCTAGGGAATTTTACATGAACTCTAGAGGCCTCTGACCTTGCTGTTTAGCCTTATATGCGCATAAGGTGAGTTCATGTCTGTTTGTTTGTTTGTTTTGAATTTCGCGCAAAGCTACACGAGGGCTATCTGCGCTAGCCGTCCCTAATTTAGCAGTGTAAGACTAGAGGGAAGGCAGCTAGTCATAACCAACCACCGCCAACTCTTGGGCTACTCTTTTACCAACGAATAGTGGGATTGACCGTCACATTATAACGCCCCACGGCTGAAAGGGCGAGCATGTTTGGTGTGATGGGGATTCGAACCCGCGACCCGCAGATTGCGAGTCGAGTACCCTAACCACCTGGCCATGCCGAGAGTTCATGTCTAATAAACTAGTATCATGTACCCTTTCTTTTGTACAATACACCATACACACAAGCAAAAGGCTACACAATGGGCTATCTGTGCTGTGTTTACCACGGGTACCTTAGCCCCGTTTTTAGTGTTATAAGCCTTCAGACTTGCCACTGAGCATATACATATATAAATAATTAAAAGAATATTCAAGCTTCATCTGCACCTTGATTAGACTTTCAGCTAATCTTCCAATAAACTCATTGTTAGCGAGGTTCAAACCAGCTTTCAATCTCTGAAAAAAAAAACAGTTTAGACAATATTTTCATATTTTAAAATATATAATGCGTTTTCATAAGTGTATAAACTTTTATCAGAAATTACATGATCAATAAAAATGTTTTCAAATTCCTTTTTAATATTTCAATGTTCTATCAAATACTTTCTAAATAAACGTCAAAATAAGAAGTTGTAATATTTTTTTCTTTCCTGAGCTTTCAATATTCCACTTAAAACCTAAGATAAGCTGTTTTCACCATGTGGATATCAATCAGTAGCAGGAAACAATATCAAAGTTAGAATACTGTAGACCGAGTAAAAAAAAAAAAATAGTAATTAGAAGGCTCAGTACAATACTTGAACAGAAAATAAAGAATAAGTTTAAAAATCGTGAAGTTTTGTTGTTGTGACGTTTCAAGGTAACGGTCTTCATCAGATCGTAAAGCTTACAATCTAATGTGGTCTTCTCGAAGTGAAAAAATATTTAACACTTGGCGAGTTTGTTACCTACTTTGTATTATTTCTAGATCTTTGTCGACTATGCAGTTAACTATATTTACTTTTTACAATACTTGAACAATCAAGCTTAGCATAACGCTTAGGTCTATGATATTTTAAATATGCCTTTGAAGTGCCTGTAATTTATCTATAGCTCGTATGAAACTATGGTTGATTATGGAGTTAATAAACAATTTTCAAACAGTTTTTTTCTCTGTAGTTCAGTGTTTGGCTGGACTTCTGAATTAATGTCTAGCATTAATCTCGATGCATACGAAATTATTGGTGACATTCGGCATAACCGGACATATGGTTCCAGGAGTCGTTTTCAAATTGATTTCTTTGTTACTCGGATCCTTTGTTTCCAACAACAGCTGGATTCATTCATGGTGTTAGAAAAACAAGTAGGTTCAAGAAGTTTTGATAGAAATAAATAAAAACCCTGTAACCCGAGCGCTTTCGAAAGGTGGACTTTTCTTCTTCAGGAGTAAACATTCCCAGTTTGCCCCTGAAGAATAAAGGTCCACTATTCGAAACAGCTGGATTCAGTCAGTTATCTCTATTCTGTGGTACTAACAGTAAAACTAACATATTTCAACTTGAAATCATGTTGTATCATACATCTGACGCTTCAAGATATAAGTGTCACAACTGTTATTACGAGTTACCTAACTCAGGAGAATTTTCTATTTAATAAATCATTCTTGTTTGGTATATTTACTTCTGGTGTATTTAACATAAAATTCTAGATGTGCTTCAGTATTATCCAAAACAAGAAAATGGTTTGATTAGTGGATGTAATAACGACTAGAATATACCGCTTGGTAGAATTATTAATGTTCACACCACTGTTTTAACAGAGACACAGTTTTCGTCATTAGAACATACTCCAATCGAACGGAGAGAGAGAATTCGTTTGTTTTTCAGTCTTTGTTCCTAGTTTGAACTCAGCAAAATGGTTTAAAGTGGGAATTTTTTCTGTGACATTCTTCCTGGTTCTTATTGCAATACTTAGGTCCCCATTTATATACTTATAAAATGTTCTGACTTGCAGGTATATGCTAATAGTTCAGTTTTATGAGTAAAAATATTATTTGTAATTAACAAGGACTGCTAATAATTTACTTCTGTACTGCTTAGTGTCAATACCGTTTACCACAAACTACTTTACATCTTCACAAAGATTTGAACAACAACAACAGAAGTTCAAGTTTGAAACAAAAGAGACTAATGGTAAAACAGACTTCTTTCTATTGGTGTGGTTTGTATCAAGATCACTCAGGATTGCGTCATTTTGTCTGTGACGTCAAAAAAAACTGCTCAAGAAATATGCAGATGATGTCGTCGAGTTAATAGAGTTGATAAACATGCATTTTAATGTATTTATTGCTGAATGTTTGCTATTCTTTTATGATATGATTGGGAAAACTTCTTAAGTTTCTTTCAATAATTTTACACCAAAGAAGAGCATAGCTGGTACAATATTACTAAAATCTAATAGAATATAAAAACTTTGATAATTTAGCTTTAAGAGCTATAAAAATAGTCTTGAAACAATAAAGATAGAATTAAAATACTCGATGACGTTATGACTAGTACATAATGATCAATGCATTAAATTCAGTTGCAATAAATAGAACATTGATAAAACACTTATAAATACCACAATAAATTCAGTGATAGTAAATACGATAGCAGTTAACATTAACTTTTGATCAAAACATGCTACCTACTTAGATCGAAACTAACATTCCACGTACTTGTGAGTATAGCTAATTAAATGTAGTTTTCTTACGTTCTTACTTATAAAGCTTAGAATACATAGTTTCATCAGTTGAGTACATTAGGTGTTAATGATATTTTCGACCGTAAATCCAATAATAACTCACGAGGTTCGGCCAACTTAGGAGATTTACTAACCTATATTCTAATCAATACTGTTAAAGAAAGTAACATCAAAGAAACAATAGAGTACATCTCTCTTACAGAACTTTTACTATAACGATTCTCGTGATAACATTAATAGATGTAGAGAGATATACGTATAGTTTATACATTTGTAACTGTAAACTACTTCTGAATATATTTTTTAAAATTTCGAGTTCAAGTAAAGAATGATAAACTAACAGGTACAGCTTCTTCGAATCATCCTTTTCCTTAGATTACCGTGAAGAAGTTGAATAATGATCATCGCCAGAATCAATGTAAGCCTTAATCTAAATCACTTAGTTGCTTTAGTAAGATAAGGATTATAGGAGGTATAAAAACGGATTAAATTATATAAACTGATAACGACCTACACCTATGAATAATCCGGACTTCAATTAACCTTGAAGGCGTTGAAAGGACGATTACATGAATTAGAAACAGATTAAGTGACATTAAAACAAAACTTTCAGATTCTTTGAATGATATCTATTCTATTTATCTTAATCCGTAAAGAGTAGTTTACAGGATATAAAATGGATCAACCTATAATAAACTAAGATGGCTAGAGTTAATCTACTCATCCTGATTTCTAAGAAAATGTCTAAATTATAATATAGTACAAAGGCAGTTTATGGATCGATTACAATCTACTTACCTTAACGTTAACTGGAGAAGAAAGGGTAAGCGGTAGAGCAAGTGTAAGGCGACGGCTTTTCACATTTTCTTCTCCTTCGCTCCGACGTATGTCATTCCATACAACTGAAGAAGCGCCTTCTCGTGACGTGGTCGTTTTATCTAAGTTACATGGGACTTTTATAACTTGGAGCTCTGGTTCACAGTGTGGAAAGTTCTTTAATTTGTCTGTCGTCGTCATGATATTTACCAACTGCCCTTGCTATCATCTTCAAAAGATATAACAAGCACTTCTTCTGTTTGGGAAATTGATATTACAGGAACAAACTGAGTGCAAGACTCAGTTTATGAACGGTGAATAAGATTTCTGCATTAATACATTAAACAACAAACTGAAGTTAGTATAAGTTATGTTGGAAGTATTTTTAAAACTTAAAAAAACTTAAAGCTAGCTATCTGTGCTCAAAGATTTCAACGAAAATAGTGAAACTAAACTATGAATCCAAAAGTTCATGGTTCATGATCTGTTGGGGCTGTGGGTACGTTATAGGTTTAATAGTGAAATCCCACAATTGGGTCAGACAAAAGTAGCCTAAGAGTTGGCGGTGGGTACTGTTGACTATCTGCCTTCCCCATAGCCTACCAATTCAAAATTAGGGACGACTATATGAACATGACTCTTATCAATCGTAATTAATCATAACTACAAATTTTAAGGATTACTCATTTTTCAGCATCGATATTTTCCTTCTTGTGTCTTTTCATGATGCTAGTAGCTACAGAAGGTCTGTCTGTGTTAGCCGTTCCTAATTTTGAACTGTTAGACTAGACTAGAGGGAAAACAGTTAGTCCCACTGTCAACTTTTAGGCTACTCTAATATACATCGAATAGTGGAATTTAATCGTCTCTCTTACAACGGGATGCTAACCGTGGACTTTCGGATTCGCACACCAGCACGCTAATGACTAGGCCACGCCCGGCCCAAAATAAAAATAATTGACAATTAAATTTTTATTTGCAAAAATGTATATTCCAATTATATTTTTCTTTGCGTTTTACACAATCTTTACAAAATTTCATTTGCTTTTTTTTTGTTCTCAGGAAATGAAAAATGTGTACAGCTCGCACCGAAAAAAAAAAATCGAGATTTGAAATATTATGACTAACAGCACGAAAAGTGCTGTTAAATTAAGCTTTATTATTATTATTACAAGGTTCACACTCCAGAATTTTATACACATCTGACATGGAATGTTTACATAGTGAAAGAGCTGATCTTTTTTTTCCCATTGGTTTACTTAAGCAAATGATAAAACGATTAATTACAGTTGAAATAATTTATATCGAAAAGCATTATTACATATATATCCACGTGTTCACAGGCCGCACTATCACTAGTATAAAATACAGAACCAAATTAACTGAAATACGCTGTGACAGAAGCTGGACTAACTTTTTAATTCTTTTTTATTACACTGCGTTTTACGTATTAAAATAGAGTAAAACCTATATATATATATATATATATATAATAAAGAGTTCACATTAGCATCAATCATTTTAAGTTCTTCGCTGTGTTTGATATTTATATGTGCTATAGAACGGCTTAAATACTGAGCAAAATATACTTTCATATACTAGCTGAACGTTTTGAGTTATATGATTTGCATTATTTGCTTTTTATGATATATCTTCATAAACTAGCTATGGCTCATCTATTTTATGTGAATAAATCACACCATTCTAAAAACACAATAACAAGAAACAATCATTTAAAGCACCTGCTTGTACATTTCTAACTGTTCCACTAGGTTGGTTTTGTGTCAACTGATGCACAACGAGAGAAAGGCTAGTTGTTTTGCTGCTTAACTCTAGGTCTGTAAGATATTGAAATATTAGCTTCTTGAAGACTTCGTTTTAAGATTATATCATTATTTTATCGTAGCATCCTTACATTTTCTGAGTAAACCCGTACATAATGCACTCTTGTTGAGGTTTTCCTTGTGTCATAATAATATGTTAAGCTCTGCCAAACATTCCCTCGGTGGTGTGAGTCATCAAAATGTGCATAGCTTGTGAAAAAGGGTTGAAAAACTTTCTAATTTATTTCCTATTATGGTTGCGTAGAAACATTTACATCCTCCCATTATTTCCTTTTTAAGCAGGTCTCGTATTCTGAATACGCGAGTTTTGTATTTTTACAGCATACCAGAAACGATACGAGTCAACAACTATTGGCATGTACATTGTACAGGTCTTGATAGTTATGCCATTAAGCTGGTACTTATACCCTTTCTGTTTGTTACACCTGAAGAAACAAGACGATGTGGGATTATAAAGCAGAAATCCTATTCTTGTTGATGCTAGAAAGATTAAAAAGATGAAACAAAAACCAAACGTGAAACATGTGAAAACCTCTACATTTAATATGATATGTTAAAACTACAACTACAAAAATATATAGAAAACTAGGAAAGTAAAAAGCTACCCAAATTTGGCACTTACTGTTACAATATAATAAACCTACTGATTCTGCACAGGTTAACTGAAATAAAATTGAAATACGCTGTCTTAGCTTTATTATTAGTGCTAGAAATCAAAATACGTACTTAGAAGGGTTAAAACTGATAGTAAAGCATACAAACACACACACACATATATACAAGTATACATATGTACAAGTCTATTAACACCATGGTTCTGTACAAGTCTACAATGCAAGCACAAGTCTATAGACACCATGGTTTCGTACAAGTCTATAGACACCATGGTTCCGTACAAGTCTATTGACACCATGGTTCCGTACAAGTCTATTGACACCATGGTTCCGTACAAGTCTATAGACACCATGGTTCCGTACTAGTCTATTAACACCATGGTTCTGTACAAGTCTACAATGCAAGCACAAGTCTATAGACACCATGGTTCCGTACAAGTCTACAATGACCACACACGCTCTGTACGCGCAGACTGAGTATTGTTTTGTTTGCTTTTGTGTAGTATTGATGTATTTAATATATTTAAACTAAACAGCGGTAGGAAAATATTGCTGTTTTTGAAAGACTAGTTCATCAGATTTTGGCGTAAGTAGTTCAGTGGCAAAGGAAAATGAAAACATTTAAATATGACAGAGGGCGTGATACTAGTTAAACAGTTATATTCCCTTATTTGTAATGATATTTAAATATCTTTATGTAGAGATATATAATTTTTGTTAAAATGAAAGTTATGGAGAATAGGAAATAAGAAATGCTGTGTGTCTCCAGAATGATGAAGTTGCACCGAGATTCAACCACGTTCTAGTTGAAGAATTGTAGGTGTGTTGTTTCTGTTAATAACACATTCTTAAAATTTATACAATTAATAATATGACCTTGACCTAGAAGCTGTGTAAATATAAGTATGAAGTATGTAGATTCTCTTAATAACACGACCTTGACCTTAAGGGTGATAAAACACAACCTTGACCACTTTAAGGGTGAGTAGGCTCTGTTTAAACAATATGAACTTTACACTCGAGGAAGCTACAAATCTCATAACAACGTTAATAAGGTAAATGAGGGTTATAAATAATACTAAAAACACAGTATTGGTATAAAGAGTTTATAGATTTTGTTACTAAATGTATACTTATGATTAGGCCGTATACTGACGATAATAAGATAATTTTGACAATTAGTGATCGGGAAATTACGAGGATGTAAATTTTCTTATTAACATAACCATCATATTGAAGATGTGTAGTTAATAAAATAACCTTCCCCTTTGAAACAGCGAAGTCGTTTGCTATAACAGTCTGCGTATCACATCAGTTTATAACCTACAAATATAAGAAAGTTGGCATTTCCTATAGCATTATTTAGTTGGCTAAAATTACAATTCGGAATCTAGCAGTTGTGTGGATCTTTTTCAGGTTGACAACGATCCTGACAACATTATGCGTGTTTCTGCATACAAACGCATTTACTACAACAGCGAAAATTCCATTAGCTAATACAACACGCTTGCCAGAGAGGGATAATGAATATTAATACCAGGAAACCAATGGCACTCCCGTTGGAAACATAAACATAATGCAGCTCAAGAGCACCGAGTCTACAATTTCTGGTAACTGGCTCTCCCAGGAAAAATATAGTACGATCCTAATAAAATTAATTTTTATAACCATAACATCCCTAACGTATATTGTAATGAACAATGGTATCGTTCTTATTTTGTAAAAAAATATAATGATTTATCTCGATCTCAAGCTATATAGTGTTTCAAAAACAGGAAATTTTTATTTGTTTATAACTTTACATCAAATGTACTGAAAGGGCTTTGGCTTATCAGTATCAGTGGTTCGTACTGCGTCACGATTGTAGTATTTTTCATGCGTATTTAGTTTTTTCAAACAGAAAATTTCTAAGATTTAATTTTCAAAACAATAAACTTAGCACTGTAGACAATCAAAATATGGAAAAAATAGGCTATTATGAAAGATTAACCAAAATAACACTTATTCAAAATATCATGGAAAAAAAACAACATATATTGGCCAAAAAATACATAAAAGTAGACGGACTAACAAATTTAGACGAACAGGTAAACAGAAAGATGTAAGGATTTTAAGAAAGTGATAATTAATATAGATACATTTATAAACTTTCAGCACATAAATAAATGGAAGGCTATAAAGGCAGATAAATACCGGTAGAGAAATCTTCCGTATTTCTTGCTTTCAGAAAAACTGTAGCACGTATTACAGTAAAAACACTGTGGAGCTGCGTACACGCTACATCAACCACGATGTAAATTATTTGGTGTGTTCAGCCGCTAGAAAAGACAGCTTCCAAGGACACGTGATATGTTCGTCATGTTGTCGTGGTGTTACTACCTGGTCGGTTCGCAAGCCTTCTATAAAGTCATGTTAAACTATAGCAAACTGAATATTCAGGGATAGTAAGAAAACTATATTACGATATATTGTATGAAAATAATTAGAATGTTTTTACGCCACAAATGCACACGTGAAAATAGTAACGTAATTCAGGAAAGTGATCACCACACGTGAGAATAGTAACGTAATTCAGGAAAGTGATCACCACACGTGAGAATAGTAACGTAATTCAGGAAAGTGATCACCACACGTGAGAAAAGTAACGTAATTCAGGAAAGTGATCATCACACGTGAGAATAGTAACGTAATTCAGGAAAGTGATCACCACACGTGAGAATAGAAACGTAATTCAGGAAAGTGATCACCACACGTGAGAATAGTAACGTAATTCAGGAAAGTGATCACCACACGTGAGAATAGTAACGTAATTCAGGAAAGTGATCACCACACGTGAGAATAGTAACGTAATTCA